ATTTTCTATTTCAATAAATCTAGATAAATATATTTCTATATTCAAAAAAAATTCTAGAAATATAATTAGTAGGCTCGATTCTAATCTTAATTAAAATTCAATCAATTATAATAAGATTTCTGTCTATATTTTTCATTATTTCGATATGAATATATAAATGAATATATATTATATATAGAGAGTAGGATGATATGAAGTCTGGTATTTTGAAAATTCATTTTTTACAGATTAGGGATATACTTAGGGAGGGATTTATTATGAGGAATCATATTTTGTTATAAGATAGCTTGATTAGCGCTTTAATTTTTTCAAAATTTGTTTATATTATATAAGTATTTTCTAATTATCTTCAAATAATTCTAAGGTATCCGTAATATTATATCAAAAAATAGCATTCATTGCTATTCTTGAATAATAAATTCAAGACCAGATGAACCTGTACATATACAGATATCAATAGATGCGATATCACAATATCAATTAACTATATAGCCATCAATTATCATAATCAAGAATCATTATAAATTTCGCGCATTCTTTATTTTTCAAACCAAATCTTGAGAAAGGCCATATAGAATCGACCCATTCCTGACGGAATCATATATCTTATTTCTTCAAATCTTTTCATCCTATCAAATCAATCCATCCAAGATTTGAATTCAAAAGATTATCTACTTTACTATAGAATGCTAGAAAAATAAATATATTAAATTAATTTCTTTATATTTTGAAATTTATGAGATTCTAAATAAATATGTAAATCAATACTTCGCCATATATTAATAATTATGAATATTTTAAATATAAATATCCGTATATGTGATTATCAGAAGAATCAAAGAATTAAAAAACTTATAAAACTAACCATAATTAAGAAATATATTATTTATTTTTGCAGATTAAGATCCTACTTATATACATATTTATATCATATTAATTGCGAGAGACCTCTTAACTCTAAATCAATATGAATGTGGTCATCTAATAAGAGAGTTACGACCGAAACTACAAATTCGCTAGAGAATAATAAATCTCCATAAATCTTTGTAGTCCAACCCCTATCATAATCTTATATAATTCCCAATTCTTCAAATATCCATATTAAAAATCTTCTCGGTTTAATATACAATCCCTTCATATCCTTCTGAGCATTCATTATAATTATAATAATTGGGCCGAAAGTATCTATCTCTAATTCTTCATATCAGAAATTCTTTTATTTAAATTTAAATATATAATACCTTCTTATCCCTCCTATCCTATTATTTATAAATAGACCTCGTAATTCCTTTCAGAATTAATATTATAATTAGAAATAAAATATGCCGATCAATTAATCTAGAAATCCAAACACAACCATCCGCACGTATCGAAATATACAGAATCATTAAACACAGTGGATTATAAAAACGCAAGCCCCGCAATCTCCTCTTCTTTATATATATATATATATAAACTAACCAAAGAAGTTCGCACAGTAGCCCAATCCGCGCTCATAGCTTCAGTGCGTGGCGGACAGCTTGAAGAAATGAAGTGGGTACTGCCCATGTTCTCATGACATGCGTCATGCGTGTGATCTTGAGATATATATAAACTAACCAAATAAATTCTATAATTATTTTAAAATATAGAATATTAGCTTATTTTTTCGCGTCACGTCTGCGCCCGTGCTCATGAGCTGCACATGACTGACATGAAACCATATGCTGATTGCAGTAACCATGCAAAGCTCATGCAGAAAACATGTGTGACAAAAAACCTGCAAACCTGCCTTCATATAACAGGGGGGTAGTTGACGGCTGCACCATAACACGTAGTAGAGCCGTGAGGAGGACCATTCCGCCAGGTCCTAAGCTGGAGGCCGAAACCTCAAAGGCCCGTAGGCGAACCACAAGAAGAGGGCATCCCATGGTCCTTAGCTGCAGGCCGAAGCCACAAACCTTGCAGCAGGTGAGAGCGCCTCACCCTGCAAACTTCAAGCGCCAGACCACCGGCGCTAGGGGTATTAGCCCCCTCCTCCGTTCAGCCAAGGAGGCCTGGAGCCTCTGCCCCTGACGTCAGCCTGCCGGATAGCAGCCATGACACCGAGACGTTGCAGGACCACTCCCGCGCCCTCAGCTTGGCCACACCACCCGAGTCTTTGGGCCAAGTCGGAAACAGGCATCGTGACCGTGCGAAGAGCATCATGAGCAGGACATTCCCACATGACATGTCTAGTGTGAGGGGTGATGGCCTGACTGCAAGAGTAACAGAAGCCCGGCACCCCTCCCGCAGGAGTCCAGACAGCGTCCGGGGAAAAGCCTCCGGTCAAAACAGAGACACCATGACCAGAGGCCTGCCTTGCCCAGGAGCGCAAGCGCTTCAGTAAAGGCTTATCGATCTGAAGGCCCTCCGCACGAGCCGCCCTCGAATCATTTCTATCGGCCTCCCTCCACGAGTGAAGCAGGCTCAAGCGCCAACTGTCTCTAAGTTCATGAGCCGCCCTTTCCTGAGCCGGAGTGGGGGCCATGATGTCCCATGTGACCGCAGCACAAGAGCACATCCCAGGACCCGGGCCCACCTGCCAACCACTAGGCAACCCAGACGAAAGAACCCGAAAGAGTCCAGAAGAGGAAAGGTTCTCGAGAGGAGGCCGTTGGCCCAGTTTCTCAACATGGTAGCGAGCCCATCTGGCCGCCGCCTTCATGAGTCGAAGTGCCGAAAGGACTGCCAAGTCAGCAGAGTGACCCAACAGCAGAAGCTTCTGCAGGTCTCTGCAGCTTCTGTCACCTTTAGCTTCCGAGCCCTTAACAGCACAACGAAAGACCTCAGTGAAGCGGCGCAAGTCTTGCTTCGTAGGCTGCCTGCAGTTGAGGAAGCTTCCCCAACTGGCCTTCGTGCTGTAGATTACAGCAGCGAGCGTAGCCCTAAACTTCAAAGTGACCGGCAGGAGGCCAATAAGTTGAGCAATGTACTCAGCTTGCTTTTTGCGTTTGAGCTCCTTAGCCGTGAGTGGCCGGGTTGACTGCCCGAGCGCCGCCCAATACCTCAGCAGTGTCTGAGCTACTGGCCGACCTGGTGAAAAGCTGGGTCTTGCCCCCATGAGTGCGCATACGGGATACGCCTTCAAAATCTGTCCACACGTTTAGTGCCGTCGTAAGGGAAGACTCATCTGCAGCGAGGAGCGTTCGGTCATCCAGGTAGAGCAAATTCTTGACCTTATCAGTGGACGCGTTAGCAGCCTGAAGAGGGCAAGCGAGTACGGCCGCCAGAGCAACTGGGCTCCAGGGATCACCCTGGGGCAACCCCGCGCTGCCATGAATGGCATCAGGGCAAACAGCGCCCGAAAAGGTCGCCCATCTCACCTGGTTAGCCCATTGGTTCCTGAGAAGGTTAAGGATGCCATCGGGGACCTTCAAACCTCTCAGGGCTACAATGGCCAACGGCCAGTCAAGACTGTCAAAAAGCCTTACGGTAATCGAGAGCTGCTCCACATGGAAACCTTTCCGGGCCAAAGTTCACCTCAGCTGCAACCAAAAAGGTCTCTGGGTCCAAGCCTCTGATTCCTCCAGCCTGCCAAGGCTGCATGACCTGTGCCAAATGATCCGCCAGGTTGCAGAGTCTGACCCTACCCCAGGCCCGATAGATGACACTGCTGATAGCAATCGGTCGGACCTGCTCCAAAGTAGGGCAAGGGCATTCCTCTTTCGGAATGAAAACAAGCCTCCAGTGCGTGAGGCTTTCCGGCCAGCGGCCCAACTGTTCACACTCGTGGAGAAGGAGAATCAAGTGATCAAGAGCCCCATCCGGCAAGGCCAAGAGGAGGTCAGAGGAGAAACCGTCCAGACCCGCAGCTTTCCCCCTCATCTTACTCAAAGAAGCCCGGAGGTCCTTGCGGGAAACAGGAGAGAGGAGAGGGGGAGGAACCGGGCAGTCGATGTACTGAGCATACTTTGAGCGAAAAGCCTCAACAAAAGTGTCAGCAGGCTGATTAGCACCGAAAATGTTCGCCCAGCACTCTCGCAAGGCCTTAGCCGCAGCCGGTCGGTTACAGTAGATGTTCCCTGCATCATCTTGGATCGTTTGAGCCTGGGGCCCCGTACTCTTAACCCAAGAGGCAGCACCATTTACCGTGTGGACCCTGTGCTTCCACTTCGCTAGGGCCTGAGACTGCGTAGCCGCCAGCATGGTCCCTAACCTTTCCATAGCTAAGGCCAAAGCATAGCCCCACCTTCCCTGCAGGACTGCCGAAGCTTCCTCCTGAGGGAGAGGAGTGGCTCTCAGTCTCGCGACCAGGTTAGGGTCGACCTGGCCCTTCCAAGCTTGCGTTCGGGCCTCACCCAATCTTCTGATCACTCTGCGAGTGCAGCGCTCTTCATGCGACTGAGTCCCACCCGCCGCATTAGTGGACTTGCGGAGCGAGGGACAGCTGCCTAGCTCGCGCTCTCCAGCAGACTCAGTCAAGAGACCAGCCTGCACTAGCCAGGCCTCAGCGTGCCTGCACCAAGTCACCCATTTGTCCTCAAACTGCCGGCAAGGGGTTATATCCGCCTCAGTCTAGTTCCACGGAGGAGTTTGCACTGAGGGGGCTTCTGAGTCGCAACGGACAAGAGGCTTCCTGACAGTCTTAAACCTCCAAGCCTCAGGACCCTTCTGGAACCCCACCCGAAAAGAGCAGGAAGCAACAGAGTGATCACCCGCACCAGGGAACTCAATCCGGTCAGCAGTGCGCAACCGCTCACTAGCCCAAATGGCGTCAATGGGGTGTGAGCTGCGTATGTGGCGAGCCACAGCTTCCACATGCCCCCCTGCGCCCTTCAAGAGGTCGTGAATCGGGCCCTCCCTTTGGTTTTGGTTCCCATCAAAACAGGCAATCCAATCGGAGGGGTGAGCGGCCTGCAGGACCCCATTGAAGGCCTGTAGGAAACCATCATCCTCGTCAGGAACCCTGTAACCGCAGCAAATGGTGAGCGGGGTGTGAAGCCCATGCACCGCAGCTGAGAGCAACTGAAACTGAGGGCTCTGCACCCTGTCCAACTCATGGAGCCCAAGCGGTTCCCTGGCTAAGATGGCCACGCCTCCCTTCCTCTTGCCCGGCTGAGCGAGGTACATCGTGTTCCAGCCCAGACGCTTTGCAGTGTTGCAAGCACCCGGCACAGCATCCGGTTTGAGGTTCAACTCCTGAAGGCAGAGGAGGTTCACTTTGCTATCCAAAGCAGTTTTAAGGACCGTTTCACCATTCGCACGAAAACTCGCGATGTTTTGACTCCATACATTGGTGCTGGCGATGACAGGGCCAGGGTTCTTGGCCTCTCCAACACGGAGACCTCTGAGACCCCGACCCACAGCTGTCACCCCAGCGCGGCCTAGTCAGGACCGCTCAGCAGGAGCCGGAACATCCAGCTGGTGGCCCCAGCGAGCGGCTCGTGCACGCCTGCAGGCTTCTTTCAGAGTCAAGCCCTTGGGACGCTTCTGCGCATTCTCCTTGCGCAAGCTGTCCCTAGCTCGAGCTGTGCACTCCTTCCACTTGCGCTTTGCAGTAGCGACTTTAAGGACGCCCTTAGCCTTGGGGCACGGGGAAACCGGGATCTCACACCGAGAAACCATGCGAGAGCACAGCTTGCATTTATGCAGAGGTCGCCAGCAAGCTTCGCCTTTCTGATGGTATTGCCGCCAAGCATCGGGACCACAAGTGTCAAAGCGGTGTGATCCCTGCCACCATCCCTTTTCAACAAGGGCCTGAAAACACAACTCCCATCTGCGGTCGTAGGAGTCCATCTGTTTGCTGATACGATCATGTCTAGTAGCCAGATCATTAACCTTACGGAGGGAAGGAGGATTAGCAATGCCGTGGACTTTCAGAAGGTGGGTTTTCCTGTACTGACTGTGTCCAGCAAGGTTCGGTTTCTTGTAAACCTTATAACCGCAGCCTGGGACCGAACAAGTCCACCACAAGGTGGGCTTAGTCTGCACCGGGGCCGGGACCACGGGAAGCCCCGGAAGGCCCTTAGGCAGGCTTGTCACGAACCACCTTGGCGGGACCAGCAGGCGGACTGCGCTTACAAGTAGCAGACGGCGCAGGAGCGCATCCACAGGCCGTCTTCTTGCACAGAGGAGCTTTCGACTCGCCACCAACCTCAGACTCAGACGCCTTAGTCGAAAGCGCAACTCACAAAGCTTGCGAGGGCCCGTCCTTGGAAACAGCAGCAGTCCTGGACCGCTTGCTGGGTCTGGGAGTGGCGCTGCAGAGGGAAAGCTTTGCGCTCTGGGGCGAGGCCTCCACTGCAGCAACCTCCTGAGGAGCCTGCTTCTTTCTGACCTTAGCAGCTCCGGCGCAGGAGCGCGCCGACGAGCCAAGGGCTCCTCCGGCCCTTGACGGCGTCTGCGGAGGCAAGGACAGAGTACCTTTACGTTTCACGCTTTTCGTACCCCGTGAAGGAGTGCTACTGGGAAGGGACAAAGCACAGGCCCGTCTAGTATCCTTGGGAGTGGACGAGGGGAGGGACAGACCCGCCGAACTGACCACAGCAGACCCCGCACCAGAAGCAGACCTCTTGACACCTCCTCTAAGAAGCTTGCAGTTTCTGGTGGCCGTGAGCTGTAGCCAGGCCTTAGGAACCGCTTCAGCTGCCTCGGAAGGCGCGCCCGCAAAGACGAGGGATCTGTAGTGCATGTCCTTAAGAGCGAGAACCAGAGGAGGTGGAGCTTTGCGCGCCCTGCCCGCCTCACCTTTGAATTCAAAAAGGCGCAAGGACCGTACGCTGCCAGGTCATTTCAGCTTCACAATACTTCCAAATGACAATGGGAGTTCCAAGACGTTCAGCGAGTGCCTTAGCACACAGTCCGTCCGCAAAACAGCCTTGCTTTGCCATAGCGCGACAGCATTGCGCGAAATCGGTAGGGGTCTCTCCCCCCCCCAGAATCTAGCTTCGGCATTCAATCGCCCACTGCTCAACATCAACAGCACCGTCCTGTTCACGCGGCGTTGAAGCATAGTCTTGAGTCCAAAACGCAAGAAATGTGCCCTCATGCTTCTTCAAATGTGCGACACACATAAGACGGAGCTTGGCCGCTTCCCTTATCACCTGCTCCTGGTCGAGCTCCGAGCCCTTTGCAGATGCAATGCTGCGGGCCGCTGCTCGGAAAAAGCAGTCGCCGCAGCCGTCATCTTTAAGGCTCCAGTTCGAAACTTCTAAGGAGTGCGTAAGCGAGCAATCCGGGTTCAGCGGCGCCGTGTTGGGCTTGATTTCAGGTTGAGACGTAGTGGTCTTCTCTCTGGACCTAGAACGAGCACTGGGCCCCGCTTGGCGCGAGGCTGCTGACGCCACAGGCGAAGCACCGTTTCAGAGGCTCCCTGCTGCGCGAACTTAAGGCTCTGGCCAAAACACTGGTACTTCCAAGCTCCCGGACCCTTTGGACACGACTTCTCCCGAGCCCCAGCTTTCTGCACTCTGAGCAGACAACTCGGGACCAAGGAGAGCTCTGAGGAGCAAACTTGTGTATGCGAGACTTCACTCGCCTCCGTTTCGTAGTCCCACTTCTGCCAACAGACCAGAAGCAAAACAACCATGCGCTGACCAGGCCACCGAGGATTCCAAAGTAAAGACACCCAGGACCCCTGCCTGACAACCTTTGCCTGACGAAGCGAAACCCGTCAACCCCAGGCCGCCAAAAGAGTTCGGGAACTATGTGGTAAACACCACAACGACTACCTATGGGTAAGCCCACAGGGAAAGAAAAGTTTTGCAAACAAGGTCCAGAGACACCATCGCCTGGAGTCTTCACCTTGTCATTCACGATCTCTGGCCCCATGGCCATGGCTAGAGAGTCGCGGAGTCGCGGTCGCTGAAACGAAAGGGGGGCCCGAAGGGCCTGGTGTGGTTGGCACAAGGCGCCCGAAGGTACCCTGTGCTGTTGAAGTGCGGAGTCTCCACAACTGAGGCGCAGCAACTGGGCAAGCAGAGGCAGAAGCAAAGCATGGGGAGCAAAGGGGGACGGGGCCGGCTCCTCGCAGCATTCTGCGTCTTTTCTTTTTCTTTTCTTTTAATGGAGCTCTTGATCTCTTTCTTGATTTTTCTCGAGGTCACTTGGGGAGTGACCTGTCTCGTCTCAGTCTCTTGTTTACTCAGCCGCGCGCTCGAGGCCAAAGCAAGCGCACCCCACTGCCACCGCGAGGAGGTGTAAACCAGGCAGCTGCCTTCATATAACACGTCATGGCGCCGGGGCCATTTGCTAATCTTGCTGGCACAGGGGCCCCAACTTTTTGCAGGTACGGGCTCACACGTCCGTGAGCCCTTCCTGTCAGCATCCAGGCGTGGCGGATGAGACCGCCGCGCCCCTGCAATGTAACGGGACAAGGAAAAATAAAAAAGAAAAAAGAAATTTGAGTCCAAAGTCACGAGAAACAACATGTATGCAGACGAAAAACTCCCATGAAATGGCTGCCAAGATCTCAGCGTGAATGCAGGTTTTTCGCATGTACAGCAGAATAACACAAACAGCCCCCAAAAGGGGGCAATGGTTGCACTCAGAGTCAACCTCTGTTGTATATCTGTCCAACGATTGCTAGCCGTCACAGTTCGCCAATATCAGACGAAGTTTAGTCGAAATGGACTCGTGTCACAACAAGGTCGATTGGTTGGTTCACCGTGAACCGCACCGCCGACTCCCAGAAAACGATGTGTCTGAACTGAAAGGAAGAAAGCGGCCTGTATACCCCGGTGCATGAACCCATATAAGCGGAGACCAACTTCTTGACCTCATCTGTGCAATCCGTGTTCATAACCGAGACGTCAACAAATGTAGGAGTAGCTGCTTGGGTAACTATAATGGGCGGAATATAGTCATTGGGAACTAGAATCCGCAATCGAAGTGTCTCATCTTGTAGCTGGGCCATTTCTAGTGATCGCTTGGACATTTCTCACGCTAGGAAACTTCGAGACGGCAGCATTCTCGAAGCTGCAGACACAGGTGATGAAGGACCAATGCTGAGCTGACATGGACACACAACGTGCTTGAACCAGCTCGTCCATCTTTTTTCCCAGGCATGCAGGTAGCAATGATCAGGCTATAGAATGTACAATCTGGCAAGAAAGCAACAGTCAAGATTCATCATGGCAAGCGCAAGAGATGTCGGACAAACTGCACATGTAGAAAATCTAGGAGTGCAATCTCCACCTCAGCGTCCTCTCCACCTGTAGCTGCACATGGAATTATGTTCCATGGCTGTAAGAGGCAATGATTGTAGTCGAACCCGGCATGTGCCAGCAGCCATGGCAAAAACTGCTTGAAGCCGCTGTATTGATACACTGCCCATCCTTTGACAAAAGAAGACATTGGCCTGTATCAAGTGCATCAGCAAATACATCCTATGTCCAAGCTCGTAAACAATGGGACGATGTGAACGTTGGAATACAAGCGGCAGCTGACGGAATTTGTTTTCAACCAATGGTGCCACACGCTGTCCTGTTGCATGTCTGTCCCAGGTTCCGTTGACTTGTACTTCATCAGTGCCGGGTGTGAGGTGAGCAACAAAAGTGCGCGATGCCAAAGTATAGGTATTAGAAAACGCAGCACCAGGCTAGAAACCTCCGAGACCATAAAGATTAGCATGGGCGCCAGGTCTGCAAGAATGATCAGCAACTGTTCTAATCCTAGAAAAACTGCGCGCACAAGACTTGACAAAAGACTAACAAGATGTACTTGCGACGTAACTACGGTGCACGGACGTCCAGTTTTGCAATCTGCGAATCACACTACACAGTTCTTTACAAGACCTCGATCGCTCTCTGCGCACATGGTGTCTTGATCTCGTCCTTGTGTGTCGTTCAGGATTCAGTCCCGGAAATGATCGGTTCGGGGGGACGATTACTTGATCTGGCTTGCTCTGCAGAAGTGCCCGCTGTCCGGTGATCCGCATAGCCAACTGTCAGTGAAGAGGTCCCCCGTGTGGAAATGGGCGAAAACCCCGACATCGTCCTCGAGCGTACAGGCGAAGGATGAAGAAACGGATGAAGAAAAAGAGAAGGGAGAGAGGGGGACGCAGGAGGAGCGGGGAAAGGAAGGGGAGGCGGGAGAGAGCGGAGCAGGGGGCGGAGGAGGGGAAGAGGAGGGAGTGGGGGGAGGAGGAGAAGGAAAGGAGGAGCAAACGGAGGGCGGTACACCAACTGAAGAAGTATGAC